GTTTTCAAATTCCTCCGGTTTGAGGAGCGTTGTCGAAAAGCTCCGTTTTCGTGACGGATTAGTGTGGACGGTGAGCCTAACCGTAGATTTAAAACTGTGTTTTCAAATTTCTCCGGCGTAGTGTGGACGAGGCCTAAGAGCACTGTATGTCATTGTTTTATCGCGTCACTAGAAGCACTGGCCAATGGAAAACCAACGAACTTATTGTATTGAACAGTGTTCGATTGGCAGGGACCCACAATGAAGTGCAGGTTGACGATACCGTAGAAAGCAGTGAGGACAGAAACTGCTCGATCAACAGTTTTTTCTTTTTGGGATTTATTTGCTTCCAACCGATCTGAGATCAAACAGCCATAAGGATGTTTCCACTGGACATAAAGTTATTTTTTATTTCTAGTTAACATTACTGTGTATGTTTATAGATGATAGTTTTGGGACTAACCTTCGAGCCGCCATTATCATGGGCACGTACCTCAAAACTATCCTGAATGGGTAACGGACTTCCCTCATCCGACGCCCCAGACTCGCTCGACGAGTAGTCTTTAGGGACTGTGACAGCATTTCTCTTCCACAAGTCGAGAAAAGGATAGCTAAGGAGAGCTGACAAAAGTCATAAAACGCTAGCAGTCATGAAAATGTTAACAAAAGGAGGAAAAATTGCAAGGTCATCAACGGTTGTTTTATTAGACGAAACTATCTGAAACTGGCCAAACTCGGCCAAATAATACCTTATGGCCAAATTAGCTATTGTATTTAACGTACTTTTAAACAATTTTACTTTGTTAAAAAAACATACAGTTTAAAGAGTTGAGAGTAAAACCTAGTTCATTACGATATGCGGAGTCATTTTTAAATCCCTTAATCAAAGTACCCTGGTATAGATAGAAGTCAAAACACTGTTAAAAAAAAACTCAATTTCTTTCTTTCACCTTTTTCTCGACCTATTTTCTTACCTTCTGTGGCTGGTGTTGTGAACAGATCCTTTACAGATTTCAATGGATATTCATCAAGTCTCTGAAATAAAGCACAGGAACATGCTAATGTCATTTGGCAATACCTGAATAAAGAATGCGTGTTATTTGCTTCAAATATCACATGATCATTGAGCGAGAGGTAAAGAAAGCGAGGCTTTGATGATCAACTTGTAACCAAGGATGTAACCCTCAAGGAATTTACTTTACAGAAGATCAGATGAGATAAGGCATGTCCAGGTGATGGTGAATTCACTCCAACATTAAACTTGAATCGTACCTGATCGAAACTCAATGAACGCAGCAAAATAAGTCACTTCTGAAAATCTCACAAACTAGGCATCGAGTTTCCTTTTCTCGTTAACAGCAGAAATTCCATGTCTGGCGGCCACCTTTCACCGCTTTCACGCAAAAGTGAACTGAGATTCGTGATAGCTTTCTTCAGAAAGTTTTTTTTTTCAATTTTTCTGATCGGGATTTTCTTTAGAAGTTCGAGGTCAGGGGGAGAACAACTAAACTGCGAGCGGACGTTTACCGACTGTCTTAAAACTTGGCGCTTAAACATAACAGTACGTAAAACAAAGCATGCTTGTTTCTCACTCGTTCCCGGAGAGTCTCTCGTCCTTCTGTATCCACGTTTCGTCTTATGACATCAGCATCGAGTTGGATGCTACGGTCGATAGCCAACCTTCTCCTCTTCTGCGGTGGGGATGGGATAATGGTCTTGATAGGTACCCCTGGGGTAACTAGCCCGGTGGGAACAGGAACCTGGGGAGAAAATACAAGCCTCGTGCAACGTGATGTTAATGCAGAAATCTTGAAATTCATAACCTCTTTTGACTTACCGAGGCGTGTCAGCAAGAATTTCAATGAAAACTAACCTTGATTCTTTCACTTTATTCAACAATGTTTTTGCTTCTTGTAAGCGCGGTTTGAGCAAATATAGATAAAAATCAACACGAAATTTGGTATTTTCTTTAGCAAGTCTCTTCGGAATACGGCCAAGCTACGACATATCAAACCGAGGTCAGCTTTTTTTCGAAACACACAAACTAGCAGTGGAAGCACTACAGATACCCTTATAAAATGAAAAAAATGACAACTGTGGAAAATTGATCACTCGACATTTTGGTTTAACCAAAAGATCAGCACGTGGCACATATTTTTACTTGAATACCAATTTACATCTTCTGATCGAGTTTCTTTTTTCTTCTTTCCCTCACCTGGTATTCCCCTACTAAAGTCGTGGGCATCTCATCGTCTCCAGGTTCTGTGAAAATAAAAAATGAAAAAGAGCAAAAGGCATCACATTTGTGGCCTCGTTCGCTGCTGTCGAATAACGGGGAGGAGAACTTTTGGGACGTCACTGTTTTTTTTTCGCCGCTACAAAATGAGTTCAGTCATGCTCTCAGCTCATCCTCACCTGCAGTCACCTCTAACACTCCACTCGGCTCTCCTAACGTCAGTACACCTGCTAAAGACGGCTCCTCATCCAACGGGTCTGGAATGGTTGGAGGGGGTGAGGCTCGCCTGATGAAACATGACAAACATGGCTCAATGTTAAACAGGAATACAATAAAATTATTGTGAACCAGTTTTTGCGTTAAACATTATTGCTTTAAATAGATTCCTCACACTGTGTATGAGAGGGCTTATACTTGTTCGATATGTCGCTAGGAAACTGCGTTCTCTTTTCTAGCAGACTGGGGCGGGGAACTTTACTTAGTGTACCGAGAGCTGGGCCTTGCACACGTTACATTTGTGAAGTGTTCTTGAGCAAAATAGTTCATTCTGACAGCGCCTCTCTCTCCGCTTACGTGTATACTAGGGAACTATTGATGGGAGTACTTTGATTGCGAAGAGGAGAGAGTTGCTTTGGTAAGGTAATCCCTCTTAAGGTTTCATTTAAAAAATTGGCCGTTGTCATTCACGTTCTCTTTAATACGCAGAATTTGGCCATTTCTCGTTGTTTATATGTAGAACGGAAAAGAAATCAACATATGAAGGATTCACTTTCTTACGTTGAACTTATCTAGCTTGCTTCGCGCTATATTAACCAGAATCAAGTCCGGTTAAACTGCTTAGTTATGAGGTGATTCGAGTGAAACATAACAACTAGAGAAAAAATAAAATTAAATACAGTTTAGTTGATTTAACATTGAGGTTGACTTACGATCCTGGTGGTTGGTCATCTCTCCGCTGAGGTGAACGTCGTTGTGGTGAGCGGGGAGAACGCGAGCGACGACGAGGAGACTTGGAACGAGTACGAGGAGATCTAGAACGGGCTCGAGGAGACCTGGAGCGAGCACGAGGAGACCTGGAACGAGTACGAGGAGACCTGGAACGAGCACGAGGGGACCTGGAGCGGGCACGTGGAGACCTGGAACGAGCACGAGGAGACCTGGAGGGAGCACGAGGAGACCTGGAGCGAGTACGAGGAGACCGGGAGCGAGCAAGAGGAGACCTAGAACGGGCACGAGGAGACCTGGAGCGAGGCCGTGGAGAACGAGGAATAGCAGGCTGTGGAGAGTCTTTGGCGTCTTCAGTTATCTCAACCTCACCTGGAATCTGATAACATTAATCACAAGGAAGTAGTCATTAAGAGAACTGTGCTATATCACATTTGTATGTTAAGTCCTGGTCAACAGCCGATTTGCCCTCCAGCCCAACTTCCAGAGTTGTCAGTATGGTACGGTAAATACGTGTTTCAACATTTGTAACTGTAGCGTTTGCCCGGACCTACCAGTGAGAACTATCTTTGCTTGATTTTGACGTTTGTTATCTGCTCATTCGCATATCTTGAACAGGGCCACTGGGTATGAAAAGATCTCCTTGGAGAACTTATTGTTCCGGGAAACCTGACGGACCATTTTTCGAACCCTGCCGGTACGCCCTCAAAACCAAGAGATTATCAAGGTAAGAGAGTGAATCCCCAACCCCCCCCCTCCCCCACCCAAGGTAATCCCTTTAAGGTTATTTTTAGGCATAGTACCCAGTTCGTCCGCGTATGTTACTCGCACGTTGCGTGGATGTTTTCGTGGAGGATTTGTTTATGTGTCGCTTCGTTTCAAAGCGAAGGAAAACCTCTAACTCTGTGGGATGCCTTCTTTTACATAAATATCAAAGAAGCCAAGGAGTTCTACCCTAGCTATGTTTTAATACATTTCGAAACTTTATGAGGGGTTTGAATAAGAGACTGATGTCTCCTGCCCAAACAATAAACTGAATGAACGGTAGAGAAAGGAGCAGCCAAACGAGTGCAAAGCAAACGAACACAACGCAACTGAATAAACGGATGGTCGAAAGTGCAGACGGACACTCGCCGCCTAAACAACAAAAGGGAGTTTAAGCAACAACGACAAAAAGGCCAAGAGCAACGTCAATTAAATAACGACTTTATATTAAGCCGAGGAATCTCGCAAGAATTTAGATTCATTCAGTTTGTCTATCACTGTCAGGGGTATCCCAAACAGAATATGTAAGACAGCGTCAAAATTCGAAAGAGAAATTTAAAAATTGTCCGTCATATTTCACGTTCTCTAGAATACGCAGCATGTGATCATTCCATGTAGTTGCTTTGTACAGAATCGCAAAGTTTTGTTATACCTCCCAACACAAATACGTTTTCCGATTGGAGGAGAACGTGTCACGTGTCGTGGGTCAAAACTCACTACCTCCCCGGGGCGAACAAAACTCACTAACCCTAGGGAAACAACACCTTGAACTTTCGACTCGCACGTGATCAGGTCGACCTCAATGTTCCCCTCGGCTTCGCTTCGGGGAACATTGAGGGCTTAATAACGCACGATTACACAGCCATCGTACTCGTTGCCTTTGCCGTTGTGGTTTGCCTAGTACTTAGTAGGGAGTTTTAGCAAACCACGACGGCGACGACAACGAGAACGTCACCAAACAAAGGGTTTAATGAGCAGAACAATGGTTCTGCCCGTGCGTTTTGAATCTTTGTACATTTCTTTGCCGTCCTCTGCAAAAAAAAACAACGTGAAATGACAAAGTCGTACGTACTTTGGAGAACGTGTACCGCAATGACTACTTTTTCGTGTCTTCCTTTGGAATTAAACGCTGTCATTACATATTTAACCAGAACAGGTTTTTAGATCGATAGGCGTCCTGAACAGATCTACACAGTTGCGACACTCAGGGTAAAATATAAATCCATTTTTCACCGTCAAGGCGTCGTCCTCCGCTTCGCCGTCGTCATTGCTAAAACCCCCTAATTTTTAAACTGAACGGTAAAAGAATAAACAGCCAAACGAGCACAAAGCAAACGAAAGCCAAGCCGAACAAAAAGACGACTGGGAGTGCAGAGAAAAACTGTGCTATGAAACGTCCTTTGAAACCAAAACAGCTATAATGACTTCACTACATTTCCCACCATTTCGTCTCAGGTAGTTTCGAGAAAGTCGCTTGGGTTGTCCACGCATCGCGCGAGTAACATCCTCGGAAGAACTGGGTACCATGTCTAAAAATAATTTACGAGGGATTACCTTGGGTATATAGCCTCTATGGAGGATTCTCTCTCTTACCTTGATAATCTCTTGCTCAGTCCATTATCCAGAAAACCAAATGCGAAAGATTCTGATGTTGTTCTTAGTGGTTTACTTACTTTTATCAGCTCATCTTCACGGATACGAATATGATTTATCTCTGGTATGCTGATATGAGCTGCTCTGGCCGCATACGGACTGCGTTCATGATCTGAGCCGGGTGGCACCCTCCACTCGGGAATTCTGGGCTGCACGGGTGTACCGGGTATACTGGGAGGACTAAATTGGCCCACGGCAGGAGGTGGAGATATCAACGGGGAAGGATGTCCGTTGCCGTTGACTGCGAAATAGGCGTCCTGCGAGAAACAAAGTTTAAAACAGAAAAACTGTTTGAAAATACTTAGCTAAATATCAAATGCACTTATAACATAATGCCAGTTTGAATTTCATTTTGGAGTAGGTTTCCTTCTCAAAGCCCGCACTGTATTCCTTTTTACCGCACCCAAATTCGCTATCAGCCAATCAGAAGCCGTGTCTACTGTCCTGACATCCTGCGATATTAAATCACTGACCTGATATGGCTACAATATGGTGCTCACTTGGCCGCATTTCACGGAATTTCTGTACGGTAAATACCCAATCGTACCTTTTTGGCACGCTTTCGCGTTATATCTGGTTCGTTCGGTCTCGCCATGGGTATTTTGGCTCGACCACGTCTAGCCAAAATATGAATCATGGCTTGACCAAACTCGCCTGATGTGCCACGGAAGCTTACCAAAAAAGGTACGATTAGCTAACATAATACCACACAAAACTTGGTGTATTTCCTAGCCGTGCTGCCTCGAAATGTTTGTTCCGATACCAAAAGCCATACCGTTTGGTGCATGGAAATGGTAGCAAATTCAGTCCATTATGGAGACAGATTCTACACACATGGAATGAATTTTGTGATTCCTACGGGAATACAATAAAAGTAACGAATCGCTTAAGGAAGCCAAAGTTGCCATCATGCACAAAATTTGACTGCTGTTAGCAGAATATCGAAGAGAAGTGTGCACAGAATAGAGACTGACGTGAACAAATCATAAACAGCGAGTATCAGACTGTGCTAGTTAACGCATTTTCTGCGCGGAAAGAGCGGGAAACGTGAATTCTGTAGTGTTCTAAGAAGGTGGAAAGTGGAAGAGAAGTATAAAATGCTTATTTTTGTCATTTATTTATGCGTTAGTAGTCTTTCAAAAACATGAGCACAAAATTCTATTTGACTTGCATTTAGCGGGTTAGTTATGAGACTTCTGATCAAACGAGAACGAAAATACGAACTTTTGACTAAAACGCAGGCTTACTTCCGCCTTAGAATTACGAATCTGAATGACAAGGATGTGTTTTGAGTCTCCTATTAACAAGGGATGGGAGCAAGACTGCAAAGACAGGGAGCCTGGAGATAAAGATACCGGAAGCACTCCCTCCCGCCTATAAAGGTTTAAGCAGACACAAGGATATTGTACAGCCCTTCAGGGGCCAGATCTTAGTTTGTTGTTCTGAGCATTTGTTTTCTGTTAATATTGCTTACTTGACCAATCAGCGCTATGGAATGGACTTCAAGATCCCAGCGAAACGATTCAGTTGTGAAATCCAACGTGTCTGTGATAGCTTCCTCTCTGGTAAAAGATCAGTTGTACCTGTCGGTTGCGATCAATCGCCAACTTTACACTACTCTTACTATTTCTTTAGCCTTATCTCACACGTCTCTCTGGTTAAAACAAACTGATAGTGACTCACAAATACTATGTGTAAAACCGGGATAAATGGCCGGAACAAGGGCAGGACAAACTTTTATCTTTTAACCAAGATTATGATTGTAGAATGATTTAAAGGCAAAAAGCATTTTCAAATTAAAGCCAGTAAAGCACTTTTATCAGGTTTTGCACTGATTTGGGTGTTTAAACCTAAAGATTACTTCTAAAGTACGTTTTTTCATTAAAATATTCCACACTTAACATAACCCCAAGTCACATACACGGGCAACTATGAAACAACCATTGACACTAAAATACCCTATAATGTTAGTAAACTATAACATTATAGTAACATTGAAGTAAAACTCCATTGAATTCTGGAAATTATGCCATTAATTCCTGACATTGTTCTGGTTAAAACAAACCCGCAACTTGTTGCAAACATAATTATCATAACATTTTAGGACTTGTTCCAAGTCTAGCAGGAGTGTATTACAAGACTCCTTGCCGTTATTAAAACTTGTGACATATGTTTTTTATACCTTGATGCTTGATTTATCATATCAATTTCACTGGGTCGTAGTCCCGAGGCATTCTTTATAGTCTTCCACATCTGTGCAACTTCAACTACCAAGACAAAACATAAATTATTTCATCGAATACATTAGGTCATAAGAATTCTGTTTTACTAGTTGGTTAACATCAGAGGTGCTTTTTGTTACTTCCTACATGAGTAAGAGGGTTGCAGCCCTGTGTGCCACGTGACACATAAAGGGGACAGTAAATACAAGAGAAAGATTTAAGAGGATTTAGATTCTGAGGGGAGGCAACTCTTATGAAAAGGTCGGGGATGCTTGTCAGAAAATTGGAGTTAAACCTCTAAAGGAGATCAATATGGGCTTGGCTCGAGCTTTATTTGACATCTAAAAGATACCACTGGTACTTAAAATGGAATAGGCTTAAATATAAGCCACTGATCAGGAAAGGAGCCCGCTTTAGTAGACTGCACTCCAGATAGTGGCCAAAATTGAACCTAAAAATGGAAATGAGGGCATTTTTGTTGTTGTTATTTATTCGAGTACTTCCTAAAAGATACCTTGACAGTTAAAAATAGTGGCGCTTCATCCTGAACACCCCAAGTGAGACCTAAGTGAGACAACAAGCATTCCCAACCTTTTCTTACGGGAGTCCCCTGGGATTGATATAACATTTGAGCTAGCTCATCCATTCCATTGATGCCTGTACTGGCCATAACTGGCCATGATGAGCATTGGCCTTTGCTCCACTTCTCATGTCATCACCTTTGCCAAAATTGGCATCATCTGCACTCAAATTCTGCAGGAGAAAAAGATCTTTCCAATGATACCCAGATCAGAGTGATTGGCTCAATGGAGCCTGAAATATGCACGGAAATACTCAAGAACATTTGAGTGAAAAACTCGGAGCAAAATTATTGATTGATTGATTACATTATGCTCCCAGAGTAGTAATAATTGCATGTCCTTACCCCATACAGTTTGTGTTTGTTTACGATAGATTCGCACCACACCAATCATTAGGTTGGATGACAATCGAAGGGCAAATGGCACAACAGGATTCACAATATCATGACTGAAAAAAAAAAATTAATAAAAGGAATGAGTAGGTCATTTATCATAAAATACAGTAGTGTAATGGTTATTTACTAAAAGCACTTTCTCTTTATTTCAAATTATTGCTAAATTTCTCTTTAGCTAAGACTTCTGTCATCACAATACAATCAATCTAGCAATATTGTGGGGAGCAACCCCACAATTTAGGCTGGGGGAAAGGGGAGGGTTTGGAGGTTTCTGCACTCGAATAAGCTAAACTTAAGGCAAAAATAAACAAAGTCTGTTATCTGTATAGAAGGGTTTTCAACTGAATGTTGTGAAACTTAAACCAAGGTTATCACTCTGGCCAATCAAAAAGGACACTAACTATCCATTGAACCAACCAAAACTCAAGGTAAATACATGTAGCTGGCATGAATTGCAGGAAAACATGTGCAAACAAGTCATGTTTGGTCACAAGGCCACAGCTGTAAGTCAATTACAATGCATTAAATCAAGAGCAAATAATCCAATTGTTTGAGTATAAATCTACTAGTCGTTAAAAACTCTTTTGAAATACTCTTCAGAGACACTTGGAAAATGCAAAGAAGCAACTGCCATTTTGTTAACAACCACACAATGCTAAGCTGCTCACTATCTAGTAGCGTAGCCAATAAGAGAATGGCATTCGTAGTAGAACACTGGTAGATTTAAAATAAAATGGTGTAGTTAAATAAGTAACGCTGCATATTCCTTCAGTAATTATGATTAATTGGTGACACCAGTAGAGCTATACAGGACATATAGTGATGACCTTTATTATATACAGACCTACCAACTCTCCCGGTTTTCCCGGGAGTCTCCAAGTTTTTCATCAAATCTCCTGGTCTCCCGGTTAGAGCACCAAATCTCCTGGGAACTACCTACTGTGGCTCTTGTTAATTTTTTTTTCATTAATTTCGTTATTTTCGAGATGTCGGGAACGTTCGGAAGGCCTTCGGGTGATTGTCGGAGAGTATTCAGACACTGTCGAAAATTATATTCTTACAATGCAAAGATTTCTAGCCGTCTCCAGGTTTTGTACTCTGGGGGTTGGTTAAGGTATGTATATACATACTGAGATTTACATGTACTCACTGAAAAGATGTGAAATAAATTCTCATTCTCAAGCCCGTCCAGCAGGGAAAGCCGCAAAACTGGACTAAACCAAGCAACATATGGCAGTCTGCGGCCTTTCCCTACATCAAGGAAGCATGGAAAGTTGCAAAACTCTAGAATAAAAATTTATTTTTCAAATCGGCACTCTTAATCCTCATGGTATCGACGAACAATTTTCATTCAACTAATTTATTCTGTTGTTTTTCACGTAACCATGCACCAACCAATAGCATAGCTCCATCTTTCTGTATATAAACCACACACAACCCACAATTCCTCGATTCACTCTTTGAATTTGAATCTCTTTATGTTGGCCATTCACATTATCAATCGAGTTGATAAAGTCAAATTATCTAAGTAGTGGAAACCCAATCAAATGTTGCATATCGCTTTTTTAACATGTGGAGAAAATAATACGTCCCATCGGGAGCCACGTATCATGTTTCTCCATGTGTGAGCCATATCACAGCGATTCTCATTCATGCCTGACTGGTAGCGTTTCACTTTTCAAACTGTTCGCAAATTGCTCTACGGACTGTTTTCAAAGACAAATTTCTTTGAAAAAAACAAGCGAGAAAAAATTGGTTGCGTATGCAACTTCAGTAGAGAAATATGTTGAAAGCATGGAGAGCAGAAACACGAGAGAAAAAAACTAAGTGAGATGTTATTCAATAAAATTATTGCATTTCTTATGTAAAGGACGTTTATAATTTAAATCTTTCATGAGCTTGTTGCTTGAACCTCAGTATGCATACAATAAGCACAATACAGCATGGAAAGTGTGTCTGTATGGTATTTGCGCCCTCATCAATTTGTATCAGAAATCTTACTCGTTCAATTTCTGATACTTACCAACTCATGCATAAATACCATACGGACACATTTTCCATGAAGTATTTTATAAATATTGACATGAAATCTTGTTCAATCCATCCCTATTAATATAAGACTTCAAAAATAAAAAAAATTAATAGCATTTGGAGAGGAAGCCACATCAGCTCTTGCTGTTTTTCTTGCAGATCCTTTATCCTGATTGAACTGGAATTTGGAAATGTTGTTTTTTCAGGAGGGAGGAAAACTAGAGTACCCAGAGAAAAACCCTTGGAGCAAGGTGAGAACCAACAACAAACTCAACCTACATATGACACACTCTCACCACTGCTCTAACCTTGCTCCCTTAAGGGTTTTTCAGAATTTCTTTCACTATTATCATACAGCACAATGTA